AACTTTTTTTCTTTTTGCTTATGTGGTGCTGAGGAATTGAACCCAGGGCCTCATGCATGCAAGGCAAGCGCTCTACCACTGAGCCACCTTCCCAGCCCATTTTTTAAAAAAGATTTTAAAAAAAAGATATTTTAGCATTGAAACTTGGCAAATTTGAACTGGTGGCTCTAACCTAAATGAGTGAAATAAAAAAAAATCCTATCTAAGGAGTTAGTTTGCACTGTTCTCATCCATGCTAATGAAATGTCTCGCTGAGGCTGGAGCACTTTATCACTCATCTCTAATTATTAATTTATGGATGAAGTGGCCATTGTTGGATTAATGGTTAGCGTTAATTTTGAAGTAATACAGTAGCTGCAACATACACGTTGTTAACTGAATAATTAAATAAGCGAATTTTCCCCCAATATGTATAGACAACATTAATTCCTTAAGATCATAGGACCTTTGAGAATATGTAGTCCATGTCTTTATTTTGTAGATGAATGAGATAAGAAAGAGGGAACTGTTTTGTCCAATTTCCCATGTCTATAAAGCATTTTGTATGCTAGATTTAGTTTTGTATGCTAGATTTAGAGGCTTTAATGTTATCTGACTTCAATTTTTAATTGGTTAAATCTCAGTTATGAATGTTTTGTGTGTATCATGTGCTTACTTACTGTAAGTCATCTAGCTGTGAAAGCTTAGAATTTATGGTAAGTAGTAATTGAGCAGAATTATTTTTTTAAACCTATAATTATCTACAATTTAGAACTACAATGACCAGGAAACAATGTTAGTGTAAGCATAGTTTAATAAGTCCATATTAATCTAGCTGGCAAAGTATAACATTTTAACATACCTTTTAGATCTCAGGGATGGAAAAAGTGATTGAGTTTCTTATTGTCAAAACAAAGAAATACTTTAGATATGGTCATTTAATAAGCTGTTTTACTTCATGTAAACTACTTTTGCTGAAGCTCTTAAGAGATATGGTCACATGGCTATGTCAGTTGTTTACTTACTGGGTTTACATTTAATGCAGCTGCTGGTGACAGTTTGAGATTTTTTTTTTTTTTTTGTTGGTCATGGGGCTTGAACTCTGGGCCTGAACGCTGTTCCTGAACTCTTGAGCTCAAAGCTACTACTCTACCACTTGAGCCACTGGGCCACTTCTGGTTTTCTGAGTGGTTTTATTGGAGATAAGAGTCTCACGGACTTTCCTGCCCTGGCTAGCTTTGAACTATGATCCTCAGATCTCAGCTTCCTGAGTAGCTAGGATTATAGGCGTGAGCTACCGGCACCCTGCAGTTTGAGATTCTTGACTCATTGCTAGAATGGAAAGTAGTTGATTTTTCTAACTGTTCACAGACTATTATCTTTTTTTTTTTTTTTGTCGTTTGTGGGGCTTGAACTCTGGGCCTGGTCACACTGTCCCTCAGCTCTTCAGCTCAAGGTGAGCACTCTACCACTTGAGCCACAGCTTCACTTCTGGCTTTCTAGTGGTTAATTGGAGATGAGAGTCTCATGGGGACTTTTCTGCACTGCCTGGCTTTCAACCGGGATTCTTGGACCTCAACCTCCTGAGTAGCTAAAGATTACAGGCGTGAGCTACCAGTACCCAGCTACTTTTATCTTTTAATGTTCACTTTTTAATGCAGTTAAACTGAAACTACAGATTACATAATAGTTATTAGTATGCTCTAAATGTTAAACTATTACTGTCTCTCTATCTTACATATAAAATGAATAGTCTATGTGAAAATGTTATATACTACAATAATGGTGAATTTCAAAATAGATAATAAACATCAGGGTTATATGCTTGTATATTAGGTTGCACAGTACTGTGAAGAATATTCTTTTTTTTCTGGAGCATTCATTTGTTTTTGGAGTTTCTTCCTTTTCCTTTATGACTGTATTTATGCCTTTAGTATCAGTGACTTTTTGCTAAGGAATCCACCTTTGTCAAAGTCTATCAGACAGTAAAGCTAATTTTCTTTGTATGGCCTACTAGATGACAAATGGTCTAATAGATAAATGATTTTTTGAAACAAATTTGTTAACTTTTGAAATTTTGTTTTGATGATATCTTAAGATGGTGATCCAGTTAATGTACAAGGATTTCATCTGTTAAATATTGTAAACTATTTCCTTTTCCCTTTTAGGATATCTGTTTTTCAAAATGTTTTTGGGATACTTTTCCATATATGACAACAAATTAATAAATGGTTAAATTTGTGTTTGTTTGGAGAGGTGTATATTTTAATAATTTACTATTAAAAATGAATTGGGTAGGTATGAGGACTTCAAATATAGTTAACTTTAAAGCATTGAAAATGAGATTAAATGTTAAGACATGAATGTTTTCAGCTTGGCTCTGGTGGCTCACACTGTAATCCTAGCTACTTAAGAAGCTGAGATCTGAGGGGTTTGAAAACAACCCAGGAAAAAAAGTTGATGAGACTCTTATCTCCAATTAACTAGCAAAAGCTGGAAGTAAAGCTGTGGCTCTAGTGGTATAGCACCAGCTTTGAGTGAAAAAGCCTAGTTCATAGTTGAATCCAATTTGAAGCCCTGAGTTCAAGCCTCAGTACTGGTATTTTTAAAAAAGGCCAGGAGCTTGGTGACATACATCTGTAATGCTAGCTTCCCAGGAGGCTGAGATCTGAGGATTGCAGTTTGAAGCCAGCCCCGATAGAAAAGTTCCTGTGAGACCTTTACCTCCAAGTAACCACCAGAGAATTGGAAGTGGCCGTGGCTCAAAGTTGTAGAGTGCTAGCCTTGAGCAAAAGATCTCAAACAGCACCAGACCCTGAGTTCAAGCCCCATATCTTGACAAAAACAATTTTTTTAAAGATAATATGGAGAGGGCTGAGAAGGTGGCTCAGTGGTAGAGTGCTTGCCTTGCATGCATGAAGCCCTGGGTTTGATTCCTCAGCACTACATAAGCAGAAAAAGCCAGAAGTGGCACTGTGGCTATAGTGGTAGAACACTAGCCTTGAACTGAAGAGCTGAGGGACAGCGCTCAGGCCCAGAGTTTAGGCCCCACAATTGACCAAAAAAAAAAAAAAAGATAATATGAAGAAAATGTGGAGAATTATAATTCATTAAAAAGTAATATAAGTTAAGTTTGAGAGTTTCTGTCTTAATGTGTGGTTAAAATTTCAGTTTAGAGATCTGTTTCTTTTAGAGTAAACATTTTTAATATAGTAACAGATCAGGGAAATGGTTTCCATATGCTTCTTGAGGTGTTAATAGTGCACTTTTGGGTTGGAAATGCCATATAAACTTAAACTGCATTCTGCAAGGTGAGTGTGTAGTAGCATTTCCATGGTAGGATGTACAAGAGACCCTTGTGTTTTGTGGATTTTTGACTTATGGATTTGTGAATTTCTGGAACATGCAAATTACTTCTCCACAAACTTGAGCCTAACATACCTTGTTTTGTCTGGCTCAGTATTTTTCTACAGTTCATCTTTCTGGGATCTTTCTCGGGGTATCCTTATGGTTGTGGGAACAACTGAGCCTATTTTGGGAGTCTATTTTGGGGGACTTATGATATATAAAATAAATAGACTGGCTGGGAAAAAAAATCCAGGCAATAATTGTATCTACTAGACACCTTTGGGGTTTTCTAATAATTTTAAAGGCAAAAACAGTTTAATTTGTAAAATTATGGCTAACTTCATTCCTGCTTAAGATTGACTGGCCTGTATAATACGTTGGTTAAAAACTTCAGAATGTTTTGGCTTATAAATAGGATGATTGATGTCTTTGATGATACTTACAATTCTGAGGAGTTGCATGTTTAATAGTTTTTTTTCTTGTTTTTTGAAAGTCTTGCTTGGCCTTTCAAAGTTGTTTGTAAGTGATGTTACCTATAGGTGTATTTGCAGTGGTTTTAAAGTTATATCTGAACAAGATTTTTCTAATCTTTCAGAACACAAACTTTCAAATGAATAACGTGAAAGAGAGAGATCAGAATAACCTAGGAAGGTTATTCTGCTACATCTATAGAAATGTTTACTGTGTCTTACACATAGTACTGAAGGCTTTTTAGTCATTATTTCATTTAATCTTTATAGTAACTTTTTTTTTTTTTTGTCAGTTGTGGGGCTTGAACTCCTGGGCCTGGGCGCTGTCCCTGAGCTCTTTAGCTCAAGCAAGTCTCTACCACTTGAGCCACAGTGCCACTTCAGTTTTATGGTAGTTAACTGGAGATAAGAGTCTCATGGATTTTCCTGCCATGTCTGGCTTTGAACTGTGATCCTCAAATCTCAGCCTCCTGAGTAGCTAGGATTACAGGTGTGAGCCAGTGGCGCCTGGCTATCGTAACTCTTAATTGGTAGGCACTGATAATTTCTACTTCTTGTGAATGAGGGAAGTGATGCTTAGAGACTTTAAGCAATTTGCCTCCAGTTAAAAAAACAAAAACAAAACACTAGTTAGTTGCCAAGCATAGATTCAGCTAGGTCTAACTGACAATAAACTTCTACCTTTAAACCACCACATTATCTTCCTACAGATCTCTTGTTCTTTTTCTCTCTACTAGTATGTGGGTGATGGCACTGCCATATGCATTAAAAAAATCTAATCTTATCCCCAAGATTATAAAGTTGACTTTATACCTTAAAGTTATTTTTTCCACATAATAGTATGTATATAGATGGCATTGATTGGATGATAGTGTGGCTCAGCAGTTTTGTGCTTGTTTAGCAAGTACCTCAGTTAAAACCACATTACTACAAAAAAGCATATGTACCATGTGTAGCTTAATGACTAATGATAATAGTCTGTACACTTACTATCTCATTAAGAAACAGTATATTACCAATAACTTTGGAGCCTATCGCTTATCCTGTCTACCTCTCCAAATATTGTTTTAGTCATTTTTTTCTTCTGTGTATGGGTTTGCCACATATTGCTGTATTTTTAAAGCAGGTATTAGTCTTGAATTTTATATAAATATATGCATTATATGTGTGTCTTAATAAAATTTTTATTGTAGTGAAATCATCATTTAAATTAACAATTTTAAGAGTATAGTTCAGCAGTAAGTATATTCACGTATTGTACCACAGATTGGAACATCTGTTTTCATCTTGCACAGCTGAAGTACCAACTTCATGTATAGCTTGGTGGTAGACTGTATGCTTACCGTGCTGTGAAGCTCTGCGTTCAGAATCTGAAACTTTGCCATGAAACATTTATTTCCTCTCTTCCTCTCATCACACCTTGCAATCATTTTTTTTTGCCTAGGTTTCTATGATTTTGATTCTTTTAGAATAATTCATGTACCATTATAGTATAGTAATTTTTCTTTTGTGACTGGCTTATTTAATTTTCTATAAGGCTTTTAATGCTCATCTACATTTTAGTGTGTATTGAATTTCCTTTTTTTTTCTTATGGTTGATCATGGGGCCTGAACTATGGGCCTGGGTGCTGCCCTTCAGCTCTTCAGTTCAAGGCTAGCGCTCTACCACTTGAGCCACAGCTCCATCTCCAGCTTTTTCTGCTTGTGTAGTGCTGAGGAATTGAACCCGGGGTCTCATGCATGCAAGGCAAGTACTCTACCACTGAGCCGCCTTCCCAGCTATCACACTATAAGTTCATACATTTTCTGTATTTATCCAATCATTTGAGTTTTGCTTATACATCTTGTCTATTATGCTAACGCTGCTGTGAACATGGGTGTGCAGATTTCTCTTGGAAATCGTGCTATGAATTCTTTGGGACATTTACTGAAGTGGGATTGCTAGATCAACTAGTAGTTCTATTTTTAGTTTTCTGAGAAATTTACATTGTTTTCCATAATGGTCGCACAATTTTATATTCCCACCAAAAGAGCACAAAGATTCCAATTTATATATGTTTCGTTCCAGTTTGCTTTGTTCCTTGTATATTGTGGTTTTGACTTATATAGATTTATGTATGTAGTGCATGGTTGTAATTTGTTCATTTCTTTTTTTTTTTTTTTGTTGGTTGTGGGGCTTGAACTCTGGGCCTGGCTCAAGGCTAGCGCTTTACCACTTGAGCCACAGCGCCACTTCTGGTTTTCTGGTGGTTAATTGGAGATAAAAGTTTCACGGACTTTCCTGCATGGGCTAGCTTTGAACCTTAATCCTCAGATTTCAGCCTCCTGAGTAGCTAGGATTACAGGCTAATTTGTTCATTTCTATATCACATTTTATTTATCTATTTTATTAATGGACATATGTTTGCTAATTTTTATTTCACATTCAAAAATATCACACTGTCCACAACATTTTATACATGTCTCTTGGTACAGATGAAGTTTGTTCTGAGATATATACCAGGGTAGAATTGAGTCATAAAGAATGAGCATATTTAAGTTTACTAGCAAATGTCAGACTGTTCTAACAGCATTGTGAAAATCAGTTTTTCTTTTTTTTGTCGGTTGTGGGGCCTGAACTCTGGGCCTGGGCGCTGTCCCTCAGCTCTTCAGCTCAAGGCTAGCACTCTACCACTTGAGCCACA